CTCTTTCATATGACACCTCATTCATTGATTATCACCTTCAGGATCACAACTGATAAAGGTTTGAATCTCGATTTGGAAAAAAAAAATTGACTTTTTTTGCATGGTCGCGCAATGCACGTAGGCTGCATAGGGATGCGTGTAATCTCTATGGGAAGAATTTTAGCACACAACATCGGGTGCGCGATCAGACACCCTACCTAAAGCCTAGCCCTAGGCCTAGGGCTAGGCCTAATAGATCTAGACCTAGAGTCTAGATCTATCATTTATAATTAGACCCTAGATCTAGACCTAGCTCTAGATCTATAGACTAGACTAGTCTAGATCTAGAGTCTAGAAAATCTAGACCTAGACTAGACTAGTCTCTAGACTCTAGAGTCTATATATCACCAAAAACAAGACAATGCTAAAAAAAATAAGTAGATCTAAGGGATATAGACTCTAGAGTCTATCTAGGGCCTAGGCCTACATCTTGATTCTAAGCCCAAATCTACAACTAGTAAGTAGCATAACTAGTAAAACCACAATAGAACTGCAAGAATAAACTAGACTAATGAGTTTGTACCTGTCTGTCCTAACCGAATAATAAACCTCGTTAGGTAATTACTATTGAACCTGCATGAATTTATATGAATGGGACTGAAATGGTTGAACCGGTGCAATTCGTCCACTTGGAGAGTGATATAAATTGATTTTATTTAAGATTTCGTTCAGTTACACAAAAATGAAATTGCATAATAATGAGAGGAACATTTTTCTTCTTCCAAAATAACAGATTTGTTATCAACAGAATTTATATTTTCAAAGAAAAACAGATTTTACTTACTTTTCAAGGACTCTCACTGTAGTTTAGCAAGGCCATTTTGTGATCGATTTACCCCAAATTGACTAGCCTTGATTGCAGACACCTAAAAATCTATTTTAGCTTAAAATCGATTTGATGAAACAGCTCACACGTATCGGTTTTAAGCTAAAACTGATTCGGCCTTAAAATTGATTTTAAAAATCGAAATCGATTTTAGTTGATGAAACACCCCCTGATGCACATATCGTGCACCTAGCATGATTCAGGCTTTTCTTTGAAGGAACGATGCATTTCCATTTCTTACTGTATTCTTCTTTAAAAGTCTGTAACTTCTTGCCACGCTTCTTAGTTGTGGAAGACATGATGATTGATATCTAAATCCAACCAACATGAGTTCAGATTGTCGACGAAAATCGACGAACGCTGTGACAGCCTGTGAGAAATCCGACAGTGTACACGGCGCTAGCGTAGCGAGGCCTGGCGCTGGCCGCGCGCTAGCGGCGCGGCCAAGAGAGGTATTTCACCCGGCCCCCGCTCGCGAAGCTGTCTTTCTCTGCTGGGCATGCACACACGCACACAGTCAGAATATACAAAGACACACATGTATGCACCTGCACTGTGATAGGGGTGTGCTAGATAACAAATTGTCCAATCGGAAGCCCTATGGGATTTCTATGCATGGATTCAAGGATGGCTGCGCTGCAATAGTCAAAAGTACGTGCTAAACCTGAAAGTGCTAATTTTGAAAATCGGCAAAATCGGCAAAACCCGGGATTTATGGTATGAAAATCGTACCGCCCGTAATCGGCCGATTTCCCGTAGAAATTACGGGAAATCCGTACTAGTTGGCATCTCTGCTATTGGTGTTCTAACATTCCTGCTAACTTTGCTTGGTGAGAGGATTACTTCATCGAAGACCATTATTTTCCTGCTACTTGCTACTATGTGACTTCTCCTGCAAGCTGGATGTCTCTACGATATTGTGTGAACAACTTGTTGTTGTTTTTAAGTTCTTCGCCTTGTTGATATTTTGTTAGGTTGTCCGGAGCGTAACTGTTGCATCTTTCTCGAGGGATGCCAATTCTCAATCATCATATTTTTCAAATGCACATGATATTGATTTGTATTTCCATGTGCTATAGTTCTTAATTTGAACATCTATCATTTTGTTTTATACTAATGTTCTAATTTTGATATGGTCTATAGCCCATATTAATTGTATTTGCCTGTTTACCATGCTATACACAGACTTTTGTTTACATGTGTGAACTTATTCTGTGTATTTTGCTATTTTGCCTTTCTGATATTGATTGTATGTTTATTGCTTTTGCTTTTACTTGACATATTGATGTGTCTCTATTATGGGATGGCACAATAACACACACAGTGTTTCAAGTCCCTCTCCTTACCATCCTCTTTTTGTTACCCTTTACTTTCCAGGCGCTACTTCACCTGTGCCTGCCCTCATCGATTATTCATACCCCTTGTCATTAGTGAATCAAAAACTTTTGAACAAGTTGCCATGCTTGCGGGAACTTAACGTTTACCCTCCCGCACATTCTTCTCCCGTCTATCCACTGGGTTGTATAATCACTGCTTCTCATTTCCTAGACCCTGCATTTCCCGTGTCCTGTGAATTCCACGTTGCTAGTGATATCGAGCCACTTGTTATTTTAGGTAATGACTATTTCTCTCGATTAGCTTCATTGTACGATTTTCACATAGACAACGTTTCTGGTATCTCCCTCTCTTCCCTCCTATACGACTCTGTATCTGGTCTCTCCTTTTCTTCTGTTCGTATTTCTTTTCTTCATCCCAGCTTAGTATCCTTTTTAGATCCTTTCTCTGACTGTCATCCATCTAACTGTCAGAAGCCTTTTGTTGACATTCCCGCTGAACAGATCACAACCTTCCCGGAGCCTTGCTGTAATACCCCCATTCTTTCTCCCACTAATTATGTTTCCACTGAGAACTCCTCATCTCTCCCAACTGATGCCCACCTGCCCAGTGATACCCCTTCACCGAAGCATCCTATCCATGCCCCTATGTCCCTCGATCCAGTTCTAGGGACTGTCCTCTTGACACCTCGTTCGGCAATTGAGTCTGTAATCAGAATCCCATTACTATTTCTCCAGGATGTTTCGAGGCTTGCCAGAACACCAACTCTCTATCCACCATCTCCTGCTTCACGGCTCCCCTCCATCCCCGTAACCCTGCATTCTAATACCCATTGCCCATCCTTACCTCATGGTCCAGGTCCCCCTTTCGTCCCATATTACCATAAAGAAAAAGCTACTACTGGTTAATGACCCTGATTTTGTCTTGATCTTGATTCGCCTTTAATTCCATTACTCCCATTCATCGTATTTAAGTTTATTACAACTTTCATTTGGTAACATTGGCTTTAAACGATAATTAGCTGTACAATATCTTTTCTTCAGATATGTTTAACTTTTAATACAATGATGAAACACATTGAGATGTAATTTGTAATTTGAATGACTGGCCATCATCTAAATTATCTTTGCCTTCCTCTGTTTCTGTTTCTGTTGCATTCAATGTATGTGAACAAAATTATGATTCACCACCACCCCTCTCTATTACAACCTACAGCTATGAGTATTATGACTTTCCAGTGACATTAAAATATTTTTGCATTATCAAATGTTGATATTTTATGTTGTTCCTTTTAATTCATCCATCTTTTTGTGCGAGAGCAATATTTCCTAAATCGTGTTTTTGCTAGCTTGGTTTACTCTACCTTTACCCAATCTTACAGAGTTTGTTACCATGATTATTGTAGATTAATAGTATTTGCCATGCCCTTGTATACACCTGGCAAATGATATTTTGTTATTGTTATTTACACATGTTGGCATAATTTCTTTACAACATGGTTAGAACCGCACTTTTCCCCAAATTTGATTAGAAATTTCATGCAGCATTATCAGCCTGTGCTTTATATGTAATTTGTTTATTATGATATGTGAATGTATCATTAATTTTGGTAGTTGGCTTAAAGCAGGAAATAATTCATGTTCTACAAAGTCATTTTGAACATATTTTCGGCTATTCGATAGCTATTTAGCTACATTCATTTTCTTTATTTCAACATATCAGTTTTCATTGTGTGTTTATGTTATCGGCATTTTTAGGTTTTACTGTACTGACTTATATTCACATGTTTTGATAGAAACGGCATAGAATTGTATGCTTTGTTTTGCTAGCGATTTTGCTTTTCCATTTATAATCCCTATTATATTCTAGTCTTCAGTGTATTTTCATTTATGTGTTCCATTTTTTTGTTATCGTATAATGGTACCTCTCTTTGTAGTTCAGTTAAGAATTTAGTTCAATGGTTTGATTTTATTGATTCCAGTTTTATGTTTCCAATTATAACTGCAGCATAATCACAGTTTCGTTTTCCCAGTAGGTCAATTAAAATACTGTTTGTCATGATAAAATCAAATTTATATGAGTGGATGACTCCACTTCTTCTTTAAAAGTAGGATTTTTGTTCTTAAACATAAACCCGGCTGTTGTCATCTTGATCAATTATTACATGTACTTCCAACCAGGAATGTATACTGGTCAATCTGACCTAAGGTCATGAGTCATGTTGTGGTAATGTCTATCCGGATGGTAATAATTCCCCTAATTCAGGTCCAGAGTAGGCTACATTTACATACAGTACATGTATAATTAATTGAGTTTCTTTTAGTCAGTGCTTTGGTATATCACTTTTGTTGCTGTATGCACATTTAATTGAAGTTATGGTGTTTTATATTTTAAGACTGTTACATACTTTGAGTAGTTTGCACTATTTCCTTACGCAATTATTCCATAAGCCACAAGTGGGTGTGACTCTTCCATTTGCCTGTAATTGCAAATAATATTTTACTTTATATATTTTTATATAAGTGTTTACACATTCTATCGCCTTTTTTTTATAATACAGGGAAACCTGCTTTAGCGACAACCTGCATAGAATGGCCACCAGTCTGTAAAGACCACATTTTTTGTTTCCCTTAAATAGTGTTGTCATTGACACATGTAATATAGGAACCTGTACATGAAGACCACCTGCTGAAAAGACCACCTTTCTTGTCTCCCTTGAGGGGTCTTTATATACAGGTTTCCTTGTATAAATGGAGTCATATGTTTATCCAAAAGTCTCTCTTTTACCCTGTAACCTTACCTGTTTAGATATTGAATGATAGATCTTTTTCTGTTGCCAGTAAGGATTGTCCAGATCAGATTTCTTGTGAGTGTAAGTTCTTGTCGTTTCTCTCCTCACATCCGACTGCAGAATAAAAAACAAGAAAGAAAGAAAACCTGATTTACATTCAAACCTGCTACATAGTACATGCACCACTGATAAACATACCTTTACCTTTACCCAAGATTCTGGAACAGTGAAAAAACATATACGGGGGTTCAAGGCGAATTTGCCCCCGAAATGCCCAAAAGAGCCCCGAAAAAATCAGAAAAGAGCCCCTGTAAATTTGCATAGAGTTCAATGCAAAACAAATTTTAGAGTGTTATTTTTATGCAGGCAAGCTTGAAAAGTAGCCCCCGAAAAATAAATATTAATTTTTTCCCTGTAATCTGGAAGAATGCTGTGCTCTCAGCAGTCGGGCTTCAAGTTCAATTTCGTGTTTCTTCCTTCTTGTAGTTGGGTGTCTTCATCTTGGTAAGTTGTCTGGCTCAATTCTGTGTCGGTTATTCTACTCATGTATAAAACCCTGTAAACAATGATTTCAAGAATCATATTATTCCTAGACCCTAACAGGAAAATTCAGTTAAGTATTACTACTAGTATACTGATGAGTATACTGAATACTGATGAGGCTACCCTGGGTAAACAAGACATAGAGTAAAGGAGCCGGTTTTCGGCCACTTAAGACAAAATCCTATTTTTTGGACCCTTTACTTCCTATTTATTATCATTTTTTGTTCAAATCATGAAGCAAATATTATTATTATTTAAACAAAACAAGAATCCCAGAAAAAAATCATGAATTGCCATGACAATATTCATTTCAATTTTCACTGTTTCGGAGTCAGTTTTCGGCATAGCGTACCAGTTTTCGGCCGCATGTACAAAGTCAATAGGAAGCGCGCGCACGCGCCGTGCGTTTCCGCGCTGATCTATAGCACTAGCGGGCGGAGCAGGTATCCCACGCCGGAGCTCCCCGGAGCTCGCCAGGCCGAAAACTAGTACTGCGGAGATCGGATATTGGAATCTGAATTAGACAGAGATATCGTGTGTGCGTTGCGGTGTGCGGCTGCATTGATTTAATACATGCGATGAGATACTTTTGAGCTTGCGACTAGCACAAAATCGGGCTCTAAATCTGAAAAATACTTGAAATAAAGCTCATTTTATGGTACCCATATTTCACACGTAAGATACTCGATTTTTCAGATTCGGGTAGCGGGACCGCCGATTACATCGCTAAAATGTGATATTTTAGGATATATTTTTCATTGCAAATGTGGTTCTTCAGTGACACTGGCATGGTATGGTATGTGTGGGATATGTGTTATGCTATTATGCGATGTATTTTAGAGGGATTTTACCTTGCATCGGCCAATCGGCCGAAAACTGGAGCTGGCCGATTACCGGCTCCTTTACTCTATTATTATTATTACTAGCAGGACCCGTGGAAAATCCACGGGATTCTAGGGGAGGGGGCCAAATAGATAGATAGATAGAGGCCTATGTGCTATCCAAAAAAATTTTTGGATTATCTTTATATAGAGAATTTTATATTATATGCTGTTTGACCATGAATGGCGCATCGTAAAACAAACTATGTCAGATAGGATCTCGATAATTACGATTTATTTGCATTATTATTGTTGTGATTTCAATGTAGTTTCATATAAAGACTACATTTGCAGAGGCTTTGATTATGATTATGTTGGCATTGTTCACAAAATGTGTATAATTATTTTCAAAGTAAAGATTTTACGCGAAAAATCGGACGGTTTGTGCACAAATTGACTCGACTGTGTGTGGGACTGTGAGCGTAGAATCCAGGGAAAGATTATTTTTTTTCGGGGACTCGATCTATATCAAATTTTGGGAAAGAAATTTGGGGGGCTACTTTTTTATCTTTCGGTGGCTCATTTTTCTTGAGCTAATTTTTCATTAATTCATTTAAAGATGCAATTTGTTTAGTTTAGTAGCGAAGTGTTACGTAAAAAAAGGCGTACTTTCTGCGTCAAGTTTCTACGCCGAAAGTACGCGAATTTTGTTAAACATATTAAATTGTTTGCGTCCATCTTGCGTACTTTTTTGCGTCCCTCAGGGTATAGTAACGTAGGCCAGCGTACTCTCAGCTCAGCGTAGTTGGTACGCAACTCTACTATGGACCCCATGCCAATTAGTGACCGACCTGCCAGTGTCAAAAATAAGGCATTAAAAATATGCTCATCTGACCGTAATTAAATGCCTAAAACCCCTGAGCTTTCGGGGGTTCAGCCCTTTGTACCCGTGGACACCACGCCTGCACTTAAATCGCTTTGAGTTACCTGATCCCCCTCCCCCCCCCCCCATACTTTAAAAATTGATTTGATGCAAGAACTGTATCATACTAAAAGTATTATCATGTTTTTTAACGACCATGACGACCGTCTGATTTTCTTGTGAAAAATGATTATCGAAATTCAATATACAACTATACATGGCCAGAATAATCACAATCCAAGCCCAGGTTTCATACATCTATTCACGAAACTATATTGAAATTGGGGCAATAAAAGCAATTTCAAAGTGTAGTTTAGACTCTCCTCACACCCACGGACAGACCTGGCTACTCCGGTCACCGCTACTCCATGCTCACACACTCAGCTCCGACAGCACCGCCGACAGCGGCGCTCAGCTGCCGTGGCAATACACTGTGGACTCAAGGCAGTTTGCAACTGAACTGTCACGTGAAGGCGTACTATCACAGATCTATTTGCGCTATTCTTGTTGTGATTTCGATGTAGTTTTCATGAAAAGACCAATAAAACAGAAGCTTGGACTATGATTATGTTGGCATAGATCACAGAATTTGTATAATTATTTTCAGAGTAAAGATTTTACGTGAAAATAGGTCCATGGTTTGCGCCAGTTGTCGCAATCGCCTCGACTCGAATCGACTGTGGTGTGTGCATGTGTGTGACCCGAGAGCGTGTACTGTGGGCGCCTGTTCTACAAAGCATATCCTATAGAAAGACGCATAACACGGGTAAGCTCAACCCGTTGAGCGTACATATTGGCTACATCCCATCACCCGAGTGAGTCGTCTGTTGATGTGTATTTCTCTTACATGCTACAAAGCGAATCCTATAGCAAGAGGCCTTACTCGGGATATGCCGCAGCCTTTACAATGAGACTTGCTACACCCGTTGACGCGAGTGGATTCTCGTCCATCGTGTGTCTCTTCGTCTCTCTTTGATAATTAGACAGAGGGCGGGTGCACGCCTTGCCGACTCGCTCTCGCGGGTTCGTCGCCTCCTCGCCATCCGCGACGCCCGCCGTGCTCTCGTCCGCCCGTCCTCCCCGGCCGCCCCGAAACCGCGTTTAAGGGCGTGGACGTCGATCGCGGGGTCGACGTGGCACGCGGGTTACGGGAGACAGGCCTCGTGGAATTGTACCGCCCTCCCCGCGCCACGGCGGAGGCGGGCGGGGGCGGGGAAAGACGTTTTTGAGGAACCATTTTGGCCCGTGTTGGACCCCCCGCGGCGATTTTGCGTATTAGTGATATAGACTAGCAGGACCCGCGGAAATCCGCGGGATTCTAGAGGTGGGCGGGGGGGGGGGGGGGGGTGTAAATAGATATATAGAGACTGTCTAAATTAAAACCACCAAGAACTTTATTTGCCATTCAGGCCATTAAAAAAATATAAATGTTTAGCGTCCCCGCCCGCTTCCTTTTTGGGGGCCGCCTCCTATTTTTTTTTTGAAAGAAAAAAAAACAGCGTCCCCGCCTGCTTCCTTTTTTTTTTTTTTTTTTTTTTTTTTTTTTTTTTTTTTTTTTAATATTTTTTTGAAAGATAAAAAACATGAAAAGCACTGCTAAAATGTATTTCTGATTTTAAATAAGAAAAAAAAAAATTGTCGGCCGCCATCTTGAAAAATAGCCCGAATGTCAGGGAAAAATGTACGGAGCGGCCATTTTGAAAGAAAAAAAAAAGGGCCTCCTCCTTCCCATTTTTCGAAAAAACAGGATGCTAAAAATGTTTTTTTTTTAATTTGGCCTTATATAAAAATTGAAAAAACGATCCAACTGTACCGGTAATTATTCTTTAAGCCACTGGAACTGCGTAGAGTTCCGTAGTGTGGCGTACCGACTATGCAGAAATTAGGCTGCGTATTAATGGGAAAATAGTCCCTGCGTAGGTTATGCGTAGGCTGGCGTACAGGTTTGCTTATGGTTGCTTACTGTGTGGAAAGCTTTTACTGCTTTGTCGATCTGGCGTAGGGTAGCGTACTGTTGCGTAGGCATGTAGCGTAGTGTTGCGTAAAAAGGCTGCTTTCTGCGTCAAGTTTCTACGCCGAAAGTACGCAAAAAAAATTAAACATGTTGAATTGTTTTCTTTCATCTTGCGTACCCCTTTTCGTTCCTCAGCATATAGTAACGTAGGCCAGCGTAGTTTGTACGCAACACTACGCAACTCTACGTATTGACCCCACGCCAATTAGTGACCCGCAAGTGTCACAAATAAAGTATTAAAAATATGCTCATCTGACCCTAATTAAACACCTAAACCCCCCGAGCTTTCGGGGGTTTATGGACTCTTGAAACCCGTGGACCCCACGCCTATATTATATATACACTCAACTCGCTGCGATCTGATCTCGATCTCCCACACCCCCTCCCCCAACTTTGAAGAACGTAACCCCCGAGCTTTTGGGGTTTTTATGGCCCCTTGAAACCCGTGGACCCCACGCCTATATTATATATACACTCAACTCAGGACCCGCGGAAATCCGAGGGATTCTAGAGGGGGGTGCAGGCAAAAAATTAAGTTTTTCATTTCGGGGGCTCCATTTCAAATTTTTGGGAAATTTTCGGGGACAACTTTTTCCAACTTTCGGGGGCTCTTTTTTCTGGGGCTACTTTTTCATTAATTCATAAAAGGATAGGCCTACACTTTGTTGAGATTTGTTTAGTAGGCTCAGGACAGGTTTCAGGCTTCCTATACTTCATAATTGCCTATTTAAAAAAAAAAAAAATTTCTAGTTCAATAACTAAGTTTTCATGCATTGATTTGATGCAAGAACTGTAACATAATAGACCCTAGATTGTGATTATTTCTGACCATGAATTTCGATAATCATTTTTCAAAGTAAAATTTTCACAAGAAAATCAGACAGTCGTTTAAAAACGTAAACATTAGTAATACTTTTACTAATTCTAAGATCAGGTTTCGTAAATCTATTCACGAAACTATATTGAAATCGCGGCAATAATGATGCAAACCAACAGATAACAATTTCAAAGTGTCAAATCTATTCGACTCGAGCTCAGCTCAGCTGAACTCACACACACACACACAGTGTAACTCCAGAAAGCTCGAACACCGGCGCCGCAGGCCTCGGACGCCTGCGGTGCGCGGAGCCGGTGTTGGAGCTTGCTGGAGTTAAATTGCAGCTCACACACACTGCACAGCAGCACTGCACTGACTGAAGGCAGCTTGCGACTGAATTGTCAGTCCAATGGTTTTCTTGTGAAAACTTTCCTTTAGAAAATGATAATCAAAATTTAGTAGCATGGCCGTAATAATCACAAAATAAGCTTTCATTTCATACCTCCATTCACGACACCTATATAAAAATCGCGGCAATAATGATGGAAATAGGTCCCTAAGTTTGGACGTGGACGGGAAGCTTCGTGTGTATCTCTGTGGCTCGTGCAGCTACTATACAATGGATATCCTATAGAAAGATGCTTTACTCGGGTAAGCCCGACCCTGTGCGTCGTGCATTTAATACGCAACTTAATGTGAGTGGACAGTCATCGGTCGTGTGTCTACGGATGTCATGTTGAATATCCATGAGGTATCTCTGTCGTCACGCATATCCTGCATTATGCATATCGCGTCTGTTTTCGCCCTGGACGTCGACACGGAGGAGGACCTCGGGCGGAGTATAGCCAATTCCACAGAGTAGACTCTCCCGCGGACGATGGCACAGGGCACGGGTACCCCGAGGGGAGGGTTCAGAAGAGGGGTCTGAAGAAACACCATATCGTAACACCCTTTTGAACCCTTTCTCATCTCTCACCTTTTCCCCCTCTTATTCTTAAACTTGTAAAAAGGCAATTTAGAATCATGATCAAGTTTTACCAGGCCTGGTTCTCATATTTTTTATTTCTTTCTTTTTCACATTTTTGTGGGAATCACACATCATTCATTGTCGTGGTTCTTGATGAAAACCCCGTCATGAGTTCTTTCTTACCACTGAGTTATGCGCAATTAGAAAAGATAGCGCCCTGACGATAAAGTTCAGCATATGACGCTACACGACCTTGTCATAATCACATACATAGGCCTACATGAAGGTCTAGACCTATTCAACAAACATAGAAACACATTACTGGGACTGCTATATACTCTTCATGTCGATAAACGATTGGAAACCTTCCGGTATCTCAATGAAATAGACACTTACGTGAGTAGAAAAACTTGCATGTTGAGCCAAATGTGTGCAGCTACATGACAGTTGGACATTTCTATGAGAAATGCTTTGAAAAATCGGCGATATTCGCCCTCCTTTCGAACAGGCTCTTCGCACGAACGCTGCCATCTTGACGTGACCCGAGCAATAACGTTATAATGATCGGACACTTATAAGCAGCGGGCCTTGCCCCCCCCCCCCCCCCCCCCCCCCCCCCCCCCCCCGGGCCGAAAAAAAAAAAAAGTAAGTAAACCAAACAAATTTGTGAACATAAATTTACCTTTTATTTAATCAAAGGGGGGGGGGGGGTCAGTTAAAAAAAATGTAAATTTATTCATTTTAAAAATAGTGATGAGATAATTACCTATGCTAGCTAATCAAATACGCTTTATCAGATAGTCTATGCCAAAGTTATCATAAAGTAAACTATTGACTTTATCAAATGAACTTTTTAGACTGTCTTCATGTTCATGTATGCACATTATGTACAGTGAAGGAAGGCCTGGAGAGCTTGAAATGCGAGGAAACTTACCGCAGCTTTGAAGTCTTCTTTTAAGGTTTTCTTTCTACGAAAGGATTGGGCCACATTGCATGGCTGGAATCTTTGTTTTGGTTATATATATTGGTACTTCCGAACAATCATGATTTATAATTAAATTTTGTTTTTGTAAAGAGAGAGCGATATTAAATTTGGTATTATGTTATTTGAGCTCGTATACATGCATGGTCCTTTGTGAATCTTTCCGTCCAATTTTGTCCAAGGACGCCTGTCAGTTCACTGTTTTTGGAAAAGTGTTTTCCACGCACATCGCCCAATAAATGTTCCTTATAAAACCGATGAACACGTCCCACTGGAAACTGGAGCCCTGCACGGGATGAGCGCGTCTTTGCCTTGGTGCGGGCCTTTCCACTCTTTCCTCTGCCAGACATGATGTTGTTGATGAGTTTAGAATAAATCGGAAGCGAAGTTCAGAACGTAACAATGTTCGATGACTTGAATGTCAAACAAATCCTTTTCAACATCTCGTGTGGTAAAAAACTTGGGGTGGTCTTTTCTCTTTCTATAGTATATCCCAAGTTGGCCACCCAATATTCAACGGTGCACCTTCTTTTTTATCTTCATATATCAAATTGAAATCCATCTACCACACATCTGTGAATCTTGATTTACACACCCTCTTTCTTTTTTCTTCTTCTTTTTTCTTCTCTCTCTCGTACTTTTTACCAATATTTTTTTCCTCGATATTATTATGTATCCATTGAGGGTAGTCATGCTATCAAGCTTTGTTTACTTTGTCAACCCTCCTGTTTGATGTGTTCGATTAGTTATTCAGCCAACCTTACTATGTTTGACATAATTTTTATACTCTTTTGTCATGTATAAAATGTTCAATGATTTGTTTGCTATATATTAATTTGTAAAACTGCAAAAGAAAAAGAAAATCAAACAGAAATAAATAAATCAAATCAAATCAAATCTTGACAACAAGGATGATGAAGTTGACTTACTTACAATGTAATAATCTCCAAGTTTGGAAGCGCTTAGTGATTCTAATAAGCGCTATATAAAAACTGAGTATTATTATTATTATTATTATTATTATGTCATTCACATCAACAACCTTACATTATTTTGTTGATTCATTTCTTATAATCATCTCCGCATCCCCATATATTGAAAAGGCCTAAATCCATCTATATTCAATAATCCAGCGAGCATAAATTAGACTACCGGAGCTATACGAGGGAGAGGGAGAGAGAGAGAGAGGGAGAAAGAAAGAGAAAAAGGGAGAACAATAATGCGTGCCGTTTGATAGAGAGAGAAATGGTTGGATGAAAAGTGACGAGAGACAAAAAAAGAGAGAGAGAAACGAGAAACATAACAAATAACGTCCTTAGTCTTGAAAATGTCATAAGAAATGTTGTAATGGAGGAAAATGAATGAATATTAATGTATCTTCCTTCTAACAATGGAAATTTTGTATCCTAGTTCTATCATACTGGTAGTTCTAGCTGTAATTACGCTGGTCGCCATTGTTTTATATCAACTATATCCTGGCTGACAGCTTAATCAGCGGTTTTTCATTTTACAGGTGTTTAGTAACTGCTGCGCAAAAGCAAACGACAGTTCCTTTGATATCAGATAATTTTCCAAGCTTTTTTTTTTTTTTTACAGCATCACTGGCCATATCCATACTACCAATCAAATGTAATAAAATTATAATTTATTCTATATTTAACATTATCTAAGTGCATGTCGTTGTTAATTCATAACAATTTGTTTATTATACCTGGTTGAATATAAGTGTTAAACTGTAGTATAGCTTAAGAGGACAAGTAAGAGGTAAGAGGACACTTTTTTTTTTTTTTTTTTTGGTCTTGAAATTTGAAAATTTGACCTTTGGCTCCGTTGGGGGGAGGGGGGGGGTAAGGTCACCTTTTTAGGTCAGCCATGGGATTTTTTTTTTTTTTTTTTTTTTTTTTTTTTTAATAATTTAAAAAAAAAAAAAAAAAAAAAAAATCCAAAAGGGGGTGGGGTTTACACACAAAAAAATACCAAGGGGGGGGGGGGGGGGGTTAATCCCCCCCCCCTGTGTACGCGCCTGTAACTGAGAGAATCGGTCAGTATGTAGATTTGATTACTTCGTTTTTCCAAATACAATAACTAAATGACAAACACATGTAAACGTAAGGTATTGATAAAAATATGCAAACAATGATAAGTTCATGTCTAAATGTGATTCACATATAAACATACGATAATGAACTTGAAATATTTATAATACAGTATTATGAATTTAAAGTATTATCCTAACTATCTATGGAAAAATGCAGGGGGCTGCCATTGTAAGCGACGCTTGATTAAGAGGGTGAAATTTTAATGAAAATGTCTTCACATGATCTTTGTGTATGACTGATGTACTGTATGTGTATGTGTGTGTGCTGTGCCTGTGTGCGTGTGCGTGTATGTGTGAGAGAGAGAGAGAGAGAGAGAGAGAGAGAGAGAAAGAGAGAGAAAGAGAAAAAACACACGATGCCTCCATTATTCTACTTAATAAGCAAGAGCATCAAAGCGTCATACGTGACGCATTACACGTAAACATTAAATATTCAACAACAACGTTCCTGCTTGAAATATTCATGGAGGTACTGTGACGAAAGTCGACATTCTGGCAGTGCAAATAGGTCAGTAATGTTTTTCTTCTTGTATCATACGTCTCAATTTAACCAGCTTGTTTTGGGGGTAACGCGTTTTTATGGTATGTAGCCCTGCACATCAACAAGAATCAACTCCCTGATCCACTCAACATGTTTCTAAGTTATCTACGTCATCATAATTTTGATCTACCAGTTGGTAGCTGGTATCTGTTGATATCGAGCCCATTCTCGTACGAGCTTACCCGCTGCAGAGAAGGAAAAACGAACCATTTACCATTTACACTTGGTCGATGGTAGATAATAATTATCTAAGCTGACAGTTTGAATCTTACAGTTAATCTTTCTCGCCTTTCTCTATTCAAGCAACTGTATTCTTTGTCGCCAAACTTGTTCCTTTTTTAGCCGAGAAAGACGTCAGATTATCATCGTGCTGTTTAATCATTTTTAGAATGCGGACCTTGAAGATTGATCTGTAAAATGGTGAGTATTTATGTTTTTGTTTCAATCATAGTGAAATGACCACCATGAGTGATTTGATTCCATTGCCATTTTACTTAATGTCCATTTCAATATAAGCAATAAAGCATATACATGATCAGGCGCGTACGCAGGATTTTTCAAGGGGGGGGGGGGGGGGGGGTTTAACATTTATAAATCGGTCCGAAAATTTCGCAACGACTCAGCCAGCCGCTGAATAAGCGGGGGGGGGGGGGGGGGGGGGGGGGGGGGGGGGGGGGGTTAGAGGACACTTTTTTTTTTTTTTTGGTCTCGAAATTTGACATTTTGCTCCGTTGGGGGGGGGGTAAGGTCACCTTTTTTAGGTCGGCCATGGGAATAATTTTTTTTTTTTTTTTTTTTTTTTTAATAATTAAAAAAAAAAAAAAAAAAAAAAAATCCAAAAGGGGGGGGGGGGGGGGGGGGGGGGGGGGGGTTTAGGTTTTTTTTAGGGGGGTTTACACACAAAAAATTTCCAAATTTCCAAAACCCCCCCCCCCCCACCCCCCCCCCCCCCCCCCCCCCCCCCCCCCCCCCCCCCCCCCCCCCTGCGTACGCGCCTGTACATGATACATTTCGAAATAATACAACATAATAAATGTGTACCAACAAAAAGAGGATAGAACAAAAAATGAAATTAAACATATCATAAAATTAATGACTCAAACAGCGGGGCATGCTATAGAAATCAATATTTGTAAGCTGGAAAGGAGAGTGACTTGATGAATAATAGCCGTGTGGTTCAAGTTTTAAAAAATATATTTGTACATGCGACTTCAGCCAAAGAAAGCAAAAGCTTGTGTTAGACTGTCTTCTTCGTAGTGAACATTCGATACACATTTTATCATGTGCTAACTACGAACTGGTCTATTGGGCAAATTCCATGCTCTCTTCAGTTGAACGTCCATATTTGATCTACATCAAGCCTAGAAGAAGAAAAAAGAATAAGGATAAAGAAAATGGAAAGAAGAGAAGAAAATTAAAAAGAACAGAAGAGATGAGAAAGGTATAGTTTTCCCGGCCAATTTCGCAACTTTTCCAATCAATTTAATCGAAATTGAATTTGTCCCAGTCTTGCTGTTAGAACGTTTAAATTCGTGATCTGTGTATTCAAATACGAACTGGTCTATTGGGCAAATTCCATGCTCTCTTCAGTTGAACGTCCATATTTGATCTACATCAGGCCTAGAAGAAGAAAAAAGAATAAGGATAAAGAAAATGGAAAGAAGAGAAGAAAATTAAAAAGAACAGAAGAGATGAGAAAGGTATAGTTTTCCCGGCCAATTTCGCAACTTTTCCAATCAATTTAATCGAAATTGAATTTGTCCCAGTCTTGCTGTTAGAACGTTTAAATTCGTGATCTGTGTATTCAAATTCGCGTTTGATTTAATCATAACAATTTATCATTCTAATTCATGGGTCGTGTACACTTTCCGTCAAACGCGTATACATTTTAGAATACCATGATTAGTTGATGACTGTTGATCACGTAAATTCTGCA